GTGTTCTGCTGTGCTGCAAACAAATCTATGAAAGGTTTACAAAAGATATTATTTTTTCAAAATTAGGGTTACCAAGCGAATATTCTGTGTTAATATTAATAAAACGATAATACAAAATCCCATATTCGGACACTTTAGATAAAAACACTATGACACTTATGAAGTAGCCTCCTCTATACATGTATTTGCAGAATTACTCATAAAATAGTATCTTCCACTACCAAAATTTTGCGAAATTTGCACGTAAAGTAGCATTTTTCACTCTGTAGATGGCTTATATGAATACTGTATCTTCTGTATATTTATATGTCGTCTAAATTCAAAAATTTAAATAAAGCAGTATCTTCTGCAAGCTAAAAATCAATAAAATTATAAAGAAAAACATTTTCAAATATGTACTAGCATAGGATCAGAGTTTTAACACATAAATTTGTCTAAATGCAGAAATTTACACACAAAATAGTATCTTCTGCAAGCAAAAATCAGTTAAATAAAAAAAAACATTATATTCCTACCTGTACTCCTAATTTCTTATTTTTTTTTAATTTATTATATTTCTGAGACAATTTGCGTTTTCGATAGTTTTTACCCATGTATTTATAATCGCTGAAATGTAGTCGGTTTGAACAATATGCGAATAATGCGATACAAAAATTGGTAATGAGTAATTTAGGCAGACAACGATAGAGAATAGGATAAAATTTTGACGATCTGAACATGTGGGTCAGCGGCGTAACACAGGTATACTACTTACTACATGGTTATCTTTATTTCCACTAACAAGATGTGAAGCATAATAATTTTTGTTAACACATACCATGTAATTATGGAACAAATAAATTTGAACGAATTAATTTTCAAAAGTAATGAATTTGTCATGTTTCTAGTTTCAGAATCTCTAGTATTATCAGAATATAGAGTATATAAACCATAATAAGTATATTTTTGTTAGAATGTATCTAAGAACTTTAAGCGCATCTGTTATGCTTTCCTATCTAGAATCTGAAAGGGGTTTAAGTGTTAAAATTGAAATTTTTTCAACGTTTAGTCGAGATGTGGAGAAGAAATATGTAGCTCCTGTTCACCAATTTGTAACCAATGCTCTGTAATAGCCACTATTTGGCGGAACCGTACTCTTCCAAAGACAAAAAGAAAAACAAAGCATCTGTTTTCTTCCGCATCGATCTAATAATAGAACCATTCTTAATTTACCTTCTACATAGTTAGTAGTTTACTATATTCTGTACCGTCAAGAATAAAATTAATTATAGTGTGATTAAAAAAAATGTTTTTTGGACTGAATCTTGTTAACATTTGATATCGATTTAAAAACTATTTACAATAATAGTACTTCTACGATTAAGACTATGTTAAATATTAAAATAAGTTTTTGTTACGTATATTTATTAAAATACAATTTTCACGAACGATCTGTCAATTTTCTTCTCAACCTTCGGCTTTAATAAAAATTATACGACAGAAAGCGACGATTTGAAATGAAGCCATGATATTTGAAATGTTAGAAAAGTGGCATGTTGCAATTCTGATGCGTAGTACGTGCCCGAACAACAAAACAGCCTCTTAGAGGAAAATCCCTTGTTCAACTTCACGAATTGATAGGAATTGTGTTTAGAGTTTGGAGAAATACAGACGCCCCGCCGTTGGCATCGCGACGCGAATTCCGTTTCCTATAGAAATGAATAACCGATTTAGGAGGGTCTATGATATAGTATAGTGGTTGACGAACTGGAACGAATAATTTCAACGAATTTATATTTGTGAAAATCCAATGCAAGGTTTCGTAATACCAAGTATATATTTAAAATCTTTAAAACCTAAAATATAATATTATTTTCTAACACACCATCTACTATTAAATTTAAAATAGTCAGATAAAAGTCAAAAATATTAGACACGGAAAAATGTAAATACTAATGAAAATTTATATAATAAAATAATTATTTTTCTTCGTCTGTCTTCATCAATAATTTCTACGTCTAATATCGTATTTCTACCCAAATTGGTAAAAAGTTTAAAGAAAGAGTCACATACCTAATATCCTTATCCCTTGCTACTGATCATTTTGTATTTTTACCTCATCGGTATAAGACATAGATATATAACCAAGACAGATAGGAATATTTACAAAAATTTTGAAGCATCACGTTAGCGTCCGTGGCAGAAACACAATAATCTGATTGAACATTGATGCCAAGTTTACGATGCTTTTAACTATAGATACATAGCCAAGAGTATAAGACGTATAAAATTTATGATGTATACAATACAGTGTTGATTGTTTGAAATGTGCCTTCATTCCTTCTTTGTCCGACTAGAAATTGCCTAGGTGCCTTTAATTATGAAACTATCTGAGCTGGATAATCATTTGAGAAGATGTCACCCTTATAAAATAAGTAAAGATTTGAAATACTTTCAAACGCTTAAAGTTCAGAAGGGACCCACAGTGGACAAAACGTTATCTTCAACATCTCAGAGAGATGATGATGGCCTTTCAATATTTGGCTACTTATAGCAAAATCCGGAAAACCCCGTACTATCAGAGAAAGTTAATATTGCCAGCCGTTGAATAAGTATAAAAACCTGCATATTATTATTAAAAGATAATGAACAATAAATTTTGGGAAACAAAAAGGAACAACATGACTGAATATAGAATAATATTAAATTTATAATTACCCAGTTTGGATTTTTTTATATTTTAACCCCCCTTAACTCCCCAATATATTCATATTTTTTTCAGTATCAATAGGCTTTATCTTCTTATAAAGCTTCATTTTTACTAAAAATTTCATGTTGATATCGCTTTTCGTTTTTAATTTAGGAACCCATTTTAATCCCCTATTTTTAATTAGATTTGTTGAAAATCAATAGGCTTTGTCCCATTAAAGAGCTTGATTTTTGCTTAAAATTTTCAAGTTGATATATCATTTCTCGTTTTTCACTTATCGTGCAGACAAAAAAAAACGTGACATCAGACAAACGGACAAAGTAAACCTATAATACTCTTCACAGAATACTATATGATAAATAGTGCTATTGTTTAATATTTCTCTTTCATGGTAGGAGAATGACCAATAGGAATTGAGCCATATTTGTAACCGTTATGTAAAAGGACACATTTTAAACTACGTTTCGAAATGTCAATAAATAGGCGTCAATAGTCTGGAGTGTATTCTGACTAATCCATTTTTCCGACATTCTGACAAAATACCAGGGTACCTATTCTTGAATCTCAGGGAGTAGAAATTTTGAGGAAAGAATGAAACAAAAATACAAATCTTGTGCGTTGCAGATAAAGAGGTAAAATCGGTTTTCTACTCCCTCGAATTCAAGAATAGCTACACAGGTTATTTTTCTGAGTGAAAAAAGGCAGTAGATCCTTATTTCTTTTACGATAAAATGTAATATTAGTACCTAGACAAAGAAGGTTATTTTATTCTCTTATAAGATCGTTCAGTTCTTGTTGATTAAAACACTGACGAGTTGTTAAATCTGCTTCAAATTCGCTGTCGTTTTCTTATTGAATTGTTTGAAATTCATCAGACATTGATATTTCTGCATCATCTTCTGGGACTTCAGGAAGATTGCTGAAGGATCAAATGGGTATTTCTTCCGAGAGCAGTACAGGTCTTCTTGCATATCAAAATATGTCCATTTGCGTCTGTTGTTCCTATTCATTCCTTTAATATTAATGAGACAAAAATAGCAGTCATCATAATGGTTTCGTGGTTCCCTCCAAATCATGGTAGACTAAACTTTAGGCACTTCCTCTTTTCAATTGTCTACTGTTTGCAAATGTTCAACACGTGTTTTACACACGACATGTGTAGCTCAAGATTTATCCTGGTCTTCCTAATGAACGTCAAAATAGGCAAGATAATCCCTTTTTATAAATTAAGAAATAGTTTTTCTACTTTCTTTCAAAGTGTATTCGCCACATACATAACAAAAAAACATCTGGATTGTTTCCACAGCTACAACTGCTTGTGGATGCCATTGGTATAGTTTTAACACTATAAAAAGATGAACATTTACATAAAATGATAGCATAACTTGCAAAAACTCAATAATATACTAAATCGAGAATGGTAAATGTGGACAGAATAATTTTATTTTGTTGCAAGTGCAATATGGAGATATTTAGGATAATGGGTTTTGGCGCATTGGATTACTAATAAAATTAACTTTCACTCCATTTCAATTTCAGCGAATATTAGGTAATGTTCAGTCAATCCAGTATTTACTTCTTCAAAAGAAAATAAATCTCATTGACTTCATCTCAACTATACTCGTACATTATGCAGTGAAAGAAACATTCACCATTAATTATGTTACATTCACAATATTATATTATACAAAACTTGAGGATTTTCTCGTATTTGTGTACAATCCAGTTTACCCCAAAAAAGTACTCAACCGAAACGAAAGACGTAGGAAAGAAACTCAAAACGTAATTAAACTCCGAAAGGTAATCTACAAATTGAAATAAATTGGAAGAAAAACCGCGACAGATTGTTCACATTACTTAATTTGTTTACTTTGGATTTCGGCTGTTTATAATTTAATCTCGGTTTACTTAAGTTTGTAGGGATAATCCGATGATTTGGAGTTTCATCACGTTCCCAGATTACAAGGTATTGTGTTCGAAAAGATGATGTCAAGAAACTTTTGTAAAAAGAATTATTTATTTCCAGACGTTTATGTGTTTTTCCCTTTTATAGAATTTAAGAATAAAAAAATAAGCTATACAATTAATAATATTTATGAAATGGCACAACATAGAAGTAATAGTTATAAAGTATGAAATATAATAGTTATTTAAGGTTCTAAGTTTGAGGAAGCTGCTGTATTAGATAATATAACTGAACATTGAAAAAAGGCTTCTTAAAATGTCGGAGTTTAATTAAATCAATAATTTGTCATAAATATTTCTAGTAATAGAATAAAATAGAAATTTAAATATTTTTTCCTTGTTGCAGGAACCAATACAACCAGTTCACTCCTTCGTCACTAAAGCAAGAAAAAGACGATGGTACGACTACTGCCAACCTAACGGATGCCTCTCCACCAGAAAGCCTGCCCGAATATGACCTACCGCCACCGAGGAAAATCGACGAATACATCAGAGCGGAGTTGCCATGCTTCAGCAAAAGGGCCACGGTGGCGTTGCTCAGCTGTTTGGGCTTTATCATTATGTTTGGGATGAGAACAAGCATGGGTCTAGTCAAAATTAAAATGGTAAGAAAAATATAACTACCTTTAGATCCCTCTTATGAGATATGAGCTAGTTAAAATTTATCATATTCAAAAAATAAAATTCAGACAGAAACTTGAATTGCTGGTAATTTTTTCTTCAATAAGAGTTATTTGAACGCGATGAGATCTAAAATAGTTTGGGTTGGCCTTTAAGAGTATTGTTTCTTATCAATACTTTGTTGATGAAATAACCACGTCTATCCTAGTAGAAGTTTCTTTATTTGTATGTCCCATTTTAATATCTGCAACGTTAAGAAGTAAACCCGGTTTAAAATAAGACGAATTCTCATCAGCTACATTTGCAGTTAAAAGTTTCTTCAAGATCCTAATTATGTTTTTGTCTTTTTGTCTTATTTTCTTGTTTTTAGCTATTTTCTCAGCAATAGCAGTTTTAAAATTATTAAACTCATATTCTTTATGGAACTTTTATCCAAGGAAATGATACCAACATATTAATACTTTTAAGACTTCTAAAACAGTCAAAATATAACTTTTGATAACAAATATCTAAAAATTGTCAATTCATTTCCTAAAAAAAAGGCAATTCTCAGTTATCTAGTTGTATAAAATAGATGAATTTTTTTAGAATAATACATGGACGCCGGAGACACTGTCGGCCGTAGACGCCGCCATTTTTTGGGGATACTTCGTAACGCAGATACCCGGTGGTCTAATAGCGGCAGCCTATCCAGCCAATAAATTATTTGGAGCTGCCATAGCGTCCTCCTGTGTTCTGAATCTTATTATTCCTGCCCTTTACCAAAAACCGGACTTTCTTATAGTTGTTAAAGTTATGCAGGGACTAGTAGAGGTAAGTAAGATAAAAAGTTAACTATTTTGAGAAATAGGTACTTCAAGGGGTAATTAGAGGAGATAGAACACTTAAAAATAAGTCATACACTGCTTATGACAGAAATTTTTAGAAACTTCTTTTTAAGTAAAAGCTTTTTACGTATTTTGTTTCGATTGTTTCAATTCTTTAGGTGAATCGAGAAATTAGTTTTTAACAAATTTTTGTAATATTAAATATGCATTTATAAAATACAGTTTAGTAGGCTTATTTCAAAATTTTTTTTTATCATTGTCTCTTTAAACTTTTTTAACTTTAAAGGAAATTGATATGAAAAGTATTTACGAAATTTTAGCCAAATTTAATTTGAAAAAGCCTCTTTTTATCATTTTTGAATACCAGATCAGAAATAGATATGCATTTCTTATAAAATATTTGTTTACAGGGTGTTACATATCCAGCGTGCCATGGCATAATGAGGCATTGGGCTCCTCCCTTGGAGAGGTCACGTTTGGCGACCCTTGCCTTCAGCGGCTGTTATGCTGGGGTAATGTTTTCAATGCCTATATCTGGCGAACTTATTGAACATTTCGGAGTGCTATCCCCCTTTTATTTCTACGGCGTGTTAGGAATTTTCTGGTAAGTACCAATTATTAATTTAATTAATTAGAAATTCATAGAAATTCGTAGAAATTGATAAAAATTGATAGAAATTGATAGAAATTGATAGAAATTGATAGAAATTGATAGAAATTGATAGAAATTGATAGAAATTGATAGAAATTGATAGAAATTGATAGAAATTGATAGAAATTGATAGAAATTGATAGAAATTGATAGAAATTGATAGAAATTGATAGAAATTGATAGAAATTGATAGAAATTGATAGAAATTGATAGAAATTGATAGAAATTGATAGAAATTGATAGAAATTGATAGAAATTGATAGAAATTGATAGAAATTGATAGAAATTGATAGAAATTGATAGAAATTGATAGAAATTGATAGAAATTGATAGAAATTGATAGAAATTGATAGAAATTGATAGAAATTGATAGTAATTGATAGTAATTGATAGAAATTGATAGAAATTGATAGAAATTGATAGAAATTGATAGAAATTGATAGAAATTGATAGAAATTGATAGAAATTGATAGAAATTGATAGAAATTGATAGAAATTGATAGAAATTGATAGAAATTGATAGAAATTGATAGAAATTGATAGAAATTGATTGATAGAAATTGAAAGAAATTGATAGAAATTGATAGAAATTGATAGAAATTGATAGAAATTGATAGAAATTGATATAAATTGATAGAAATTGATAGAAATTGATAGAAATTGATAGAAATTGATAGAAATTGATAGAAATTGATAGAAATTGATAGAAATTCATAGAAATTCATAGAAATTCATAGAAATTCATAGAAATTCATAGAAATTCATAGAAATTCATAGAAATTCATAGAAATTCATAGAAATTCATAGAAATTCATAGAAATTCATAGAAATTCATAGAAATTCATAGAAATTCATAGAAATTCATAGAAATTCATAGAAATTCATAGAAATTCATAGAAATTCATAGAAATTCATAGAAATTCATAGAAATTCATAGAAATTCATAGAAATTCATAGAAATTCATAGAAATTCATAGAAATTCATAGAAATTCATAGAAATTCATAGAAATTCATAGAAATTCATAGAAATTCATAGAAATTCATAGAAATTCATAGAAATTCATAGAAATTCATAGAAATTCATAGAAATTCATAGAAATTCATAGAAATTCATAGAAATTCATAGAAATTCATAGAAATTCATAGAAATTCATAGAAATTCATAGAAATTCATAGAAATTCATAGAAATTCATAGAAATTCATAGAAATTCATAGAAATTCATAGAAATTCATAGAAATTCATAGAAATTCATAGAAATTCATAGAAATTCATAGAAATTCATAGAAATTCATAGAAATTCATAGAAATTCATAGAAATTCATAGAAATTCATAGAAATTCATAGAAATTCATAGAAATTCATAGAAATTCATAGAAATTCATAGAAATTCATAGAAATTCATAGAAATTCATAGAAATTCATAGAAATTCATAGAAATTCATAGAAATTCATAGAAATTCATAGAAATTCATAGAAATTCATAGAAATTCATAGAAATTCATAGAAATTCATAGAAATTCATAGAAATTCATAGAAATTCATAGAAATTCATAGAAATTCATAGAAATTCATAGAAATTCATAGAAATTCATAGAAATTCATAGAAATTCATAGAAATTCATAGAAATTCATAGAAATTCATAGAAATTCATAGAAATTCATAGAAATTCATAGAAATTCATAGAAATTCATAGAAATTCATAGAAATTCATAGAAATTCATAGAAATTCATAGAAATTCATAGAAATTCATAGAAATTTATAGAAATTCATAGAAATTCATAGAAATTCATAGAAATTCATAGAAATTCATAGAAATTCATAGAAATTCATAGAAATTCATAGAAATTCATAGAAATTCATAGAAATTCATAGAAATTCATAGAAATTCATAGAAATTCATAGAAATTCATAGAAATTCATAGAAATTCATAGAAATTCATAGAAATTCATAGAAATTCATAGAAATTCATAGAAATTCATAGAAATTCATAGAAATTCATAGAAATTCATAGAAATTCATAGAAATTCATAGAAATTCATAGAAATTCATAGAAATTCATAGAAATTCATAGAAATTCATAGAAATTCATAGAAATTCATAGAAATTCATAGAAATTCATAGAAATTCATAGAAATTCATAGAAATTCATAGAAATTCATAGAAATTCATAGAAATTCATAGAAATTCATAGAAATTCATAGAAATTCATAGAAATTCATAGAAATTCATAGAAATTCATAGAAATTCATAGAAATTCATAGAAATTCATAGAAATTCATAGAAATTCATAGAAATTCATAGAAATTCATAGAAATTCATAGAAATTCATAGAAATTCATAGAAATTCATAGAAATTCATAGAAATTCATGGAAATTCATGGAAATTTATGGAAATTTATGGAAATTTATGGAAATTTATGGAAATTTATGAAAATTTATGGAAATTTATGGAAATTTATGGAAATTTATGGAAATTTATGGAAATTTATGGAAATTTATGGAAATTTATGGAAATTTATGGAAATTTATGGAAATTTATGGAAATTTATGGAAATTTATGGAAATTTATGGAAATTCATGGAAATTCATAGAAATATAAAGATTTTAGCGATATGGCACCTTCTCGCGTTGGAAGTAGTGTCCCCACAGTGGTCTGGCTTATATATAATGATATGGAAACACCCTGTATATCAATGTTCCAAAAAAATTTAAAGACTCTAAGAAGGTGGTTGTTTCTCTACAAATTAACCAAAAAATTTATTAAATTTGTTAATAAAAAAAAATTAATTTCTTTAATCTTCTCTTCTGTATTTCCCATTAGCTGTTTGTCTCTACTTGTCTCTATCGTCTCTACCTGTATGTGCTGCTTGTCTTTATACCGTCTGTATGTCTCACCCTGTATGTTTTTCTCCACCTGTATGCTGTTTTTAACTGTATGCTCTTCTTTACTGTCACTGCTTGTCTCTGTCCTGTTATTCTCCTATCTCCTATATCTACTAATCTTCCTCTCTGACAAAGTGTTTATGTCTGCTGCTCTGCTGGTTCTTTATACTTTAGAAATTAAACTATCTTTATCTTTTTTCGATTTCTTTTATTTAAATTCCAGTCTATCTTATCAACACTAAGATCCAACAATTATTATAACTATTCCAATCCCTTCTGAGATTTTTTTTTCCGTTGATAATCTAAAATTCTCATCTGACAATCTAAAATTTTCATCTGACAATTTAAAAATCAACAACCCTTCGACTTTTTGATTTTCACTTTTAGTTTTAATTTTTAGAAACTTTAACACCACAGTTTTGATAATTATTTTAATGACGTCAGGAATTTTTATATTCATAAATATCAATTTTTTTTTAGGTATATGTCTTGGCTATGGTTGGTGTTCGAAAAACCGACGTATCATACATGTATAAGTATGAAAGAATTGGCCTTCATAGAACATTCGCTAGGAACAGCGCAACAAACTTACATAACTCCGACGTTAACCAATACACCTTGGAAGTCGTTTTTCAAATCAATGCCTTGTTACGCCATTTTTGTGGCGAACTTCTGTAGATCGTGGAACTTTTATTTATTGGTGTTGTTCCAGGCGTCATATTTTCAAGATTCCTTCCATTCTGGAATGACAGAGGTAAATAAGTAACTATAATAGTTGTTGGTCAATAAAAATGGGGGTGAACAAAACAGAATGTAATTAGTGGAGAAGAGTATAAAGTCTGGAACATCGAAGGCTGGCTAATATAATTTTAATTGGCAACGGGTCACGTGACTGACTGATTGTCCCACTACCAATTGTTACCATTTTTTTCGCTTATCTTCGATGTTCCAGAAGTCATTTGATAATAGTTATTATTTTTAAAAACATACTTGGTCGTTTTAGAATCAGAAGATATAGCGTTGAGGTTCTCTATTAAATACAAAGATCGTTCGATGGTCTAACAAAGCTTTTTTGACAAATAATTTTTTTAAATAATATATGTTGACGTAGAAAAGTAAATGAACAATGTTTTATTGCAGAATGCCTTATTAGGAGCTCTACCGCACTTATTAATGACATTTATAGTTCCTACAGGAGGAATTCTAGCTGATAGGTTAAGAAAGAGAGGGATACTAACTACAACTCAAGTTAGAAAACTCTTTAATTGTGGAGGCAAGTATTCTTTTATTAAACGTTCATACAATTCTTTTACATTCAATTACTTTATATTTTTAGGATTTGGTATGGAAGCCACGTTTTTTCTTGTAATGGCGTACTCGCACACGATAACGCAAGGAATGACGGCTCTTTCTATTGGAGTAGGATTCAGTGGTTTCGCTATATCCGGATTTAATGTCAACCATTTGGATATTGCTCCTAGATACGCTAGTATTTTGATGGGGATGTCAAATGGTATAGGTACCGTTGCTGGAGCCATAGTGCCGTATGTTGTGCATTTGATTGTGAAACATAAGGTTAGTAAAATGCAAAAATATTTAAAGTAGATATTACAAAAATATAAAGGGACAATTTTTATAATCACTCATCTTTCCTAACTAGTTAAAAAAAAAACTTTATAATATAAATATAAAGATTTTCAAAAAATTTGTTGTACTCAACACATTTTTGTTAGTTTGAAAGAAAATCAAAACCGAAAAACCGTTGTTTTTAACATCGATACATCGTGTGTATCCCTAATCAATAGCACAGCACAAATTTCAGTACTCCACAAACTGTTTGGGTGTACGTGGCTTGTTGTTTAATATTGCGGAAGTTACATAGTTATTGGTAATATTTTACAAATAAAATGTTCAATTTTAGCTAAAAAGTACCTAAAATATTCATTCAATTAATTCAGAATATGCAAATGAGTACTTTCAAAAAATTAAAGTAATTCTAAAAAAAAACATCAAATGATACGTCCAAAGCACGCGCTGCAGGTATATTGTTGTTCTGCAGCAGTTGCAAATACCTTTGGACCACAGAACACTTACTCTTAGAACGGTAACTCCCATGTTAAAAAACGGTGATAGAATTTTCAGCGCCACCTGGTGGACGAGGTTGATTTTATTTCAATGAAGTACTTATCAGGTAAAAGACAGTAAAAATTATCCGCATTAAAAACTATTAGCCAAAATAAGATTTATTCACACAAACTGCATTTTTGCTTTTATATAAAAAAAAAGCATAATCAAAAAGTAAATTTATTAAAACAATATATATATATATATATATAATACAAATCCAATATTTAAAAAATGTAATGTACATGAAAACTGTATTATATTTATGTATGAAGTAATTGGATGGCTACTACAAATTCCAGGATACAACACTGCCCTTCATTTTGTGAAGAATTTTATCTTTGAAACAGGAAAGACAGTATTAAGTACAATCTCATTAAAATAAATGTATTAATTAAAAATTGTAAGTCCGAGGAATACTTTCCTTTTTGATAAGTCCAGCATCTTCTACGATACAGCTTTGCAGTCCCAAACGTAATGAAACAGAAAATATACAGTATAAGTATAAAATAAATGAGTCGAGTGCTAACTTTCTTTCTCAAAAAGAAGTCCAACATATATTATTAGTCTGCTTTTCCTTCTACAATACAGCTTTGCAACCCCTACCGTCATGAAACAAAAAATGTTCCTTCTTGAAAAGAAGTAATATATTATTATTAAGCTTCTTCATTTTCCAGTAAGGTCACAACTGTTTTGCACTGAAAAAAAAATTCCTAAAACGAACACAATACTATTAATAAAACCCCCACTACTCCACTACTATACTATTTTTTTTTGGGTTTTGTTTTTTGTTTTTGTTTTTTGTTTTTGTATTTATATTACTTCTACTACTACTAATCTTTCAGAAACTGCTGGGAGGAATAGCGTTGGAAATGCTTCAAATGTTAGACCTCGATGAGAGCCAAATACTTCAAACTTCTCTTCAGAATATTTATGACATAGTACAAAAGTGGAATAAATATGCAGTCTTTTTTTATTAATAAATGTTAAACAAAGTGCCCAAATATCAAATAAATCAGGTGAATTCGTAGGGTGGGGCACGATGATAGACAATTTCACCGGAGGGTGGGGCAAGAGCGATGCATCTTGTTGTCCACATCAAGGCAATTCAGTACACAACATTTTCTATAATTAGGCATCTTTATGAAAAAAGCACAAAATAACGGCGAAAAAAATACAAAATAACCTAATATTCACCTGTGATCTGTCATTTACACTCCCACTACCCGCCCCAACACACGAACAGTTTTGCGCATAGGAATTTGCCCCCCCCCTGCTTGAAGATGTCTTCGATAAAAAATTTCTCTGCAATATTGTCCCCCATTATTCCTACCAATACATTTATTTTTTGTGGGTATTGTGTACGGGCATTGTTGATTTTCCCTAGACTAATACTTACTAATAGATGGATTATGGCGTCTTTGTACTGGAAGTAAAGACTCGTTAATGAAAAGAATGTTTCTATAAAAAATTTCCATCGGTGTTTGCCTTTTCCATCACTCTTTCCCAAAACTTCATTCGAAAATATTAGTCGGGAAACATTCCATAGGCCCGATGAAGTTTAAAACTTCCATAGCCATTAGATTTTAAAATCTTACTGACCTTAACATGGGAAAGGTCAAATTGTTGAGCAAGCCCTAGTATTTCGAGTCGAGTCTAATTTTACTGAGGTGCAGATCATTTAATACCGCAGTTCCTGATCCGAAATTAATGGCCTATAAGGTACCGCTACCTCTGATTCGATTCCTTCGGGGACAATATCGATGTTCGAAAGCATCAGAGTCAATTATCTAATTACTCATTTTACGTTATATAAAATGGCATACTAAAATACTTAATACTCTCCAAATAAAATACCTGGGTGCGCCGTTGTCTCTATCCGAACAGAACTCAAATGGTTAGAGTGAACCATCACTATTCTAACTTATTTCAAGTTACCTCAGGTGTTCCTCAAGGACCACGCCTTGGTCCCTTATTATTCAACTTATTTATAAATGACATCATTCATTGTTTTCAGTATGGCAAAGCACTTTTGTTTGCAGATGATTAAAAAGTTTTCTTGTTTATTAAAACCATTGCCCTCTGGCTTCAATCTGACCTTGATAATCTATCAAACTGGTGTTCCTTAAATGGCATGGACTTAAATGCCATGTACCAACTATACTACTTTTGATTATAACTTAAATGGTCATATCTTGAAGTCTGTTAATGAAATTAAAAACCTTAGAGTTATTCTAGATCCCACTTTAAGCTTCAACCAACACATACCTAAGGCTATCCATAACTCCCTGAAAATGTTAGGTTTTATTAAAAGGCTAACACATGATTGTACTAACACGACTGCAATTAAAATCCTTTACTGTTCACTAGTTCGACCTCACCTAGATTATTGCTCTTCTGTCTGGTCTTCACATGACATAACGCACAGCAGAAACATAGAAAATGTCCAACATAAATTTCTTAGATACATAGCCTATGTTCGAGAAAGTCTCGAACACATTAAACACCTAGTGCACCGGAATCTGGCCCTGAAAGTCGTCTCCAAGGGGTTTCCTCACACAATCGAAGAAGACGAACCCAAAATCGTTATGGGGAGTTTTTTGGGGCGCTGAATCCGAATTTCACGTCAAAAACAACTCTCCCATCACTTGGTGCATCGGAACCTCGGGCTGAACGTCGTCTCCGAGTGTTTTCCAGACACGATCGCAAAAGACTAACCGAAAGTTGTCTCATAATTCGTTGATGTGTAACTCTCGCCTGGGGCCCTCGTAAAAGTGTTCAGTGATTGTTTTCGGCGTGAAATTTGGATTAAGCGCTCCAAAAAAACGCCCCTACAATGATTTTTGGGTTGTTTTTGGTGATCTTGTCAGCAAAATTCTCAGGGATGACGTCTACGTCCAGGTTCAGGCGCACCAGGTGTCCGGAAGGTGTTAGACGATGCCACATTTAAATTCATCGACCCAAAAAACCCCCGGACGCCGAGTTTCTCTCCTTCCCCGCGCGAATTTTGGGAGAAGCCCACGGAGATGACGTTCAGGGTCAGGTTGCGGTGCACCAGGTGTGGGGGGGGGTCGTATTCGATGGGAAATTTGGATTCAGTGCCTCTAAAAAAATCCCCATAACGATTTTCTGTTCGTCTTTTTCAATTGTGTGAAGAAAACCCACGGAGATGAGGTCGGCGTTTAGGTTTCTGTGCACCAGGTGTTCAGAAGATCGTTTTCGACGTGAAATTTGGATGAAGCACCCAAAAAATGCCCCTACAATGATTTTTGGTTGTTTTTGGCGATCTTGTCAGGAAATTTCTCGAGGATGACGTCCAGGTTCGGCCGCACCAGGTGTCAAGGGGTCGTTCACCGATGCTACATTTGAATTCAGCACCACAAAAAACCCCCATAACGATTTTTAGTTCGTCTTTTTCGATCGTGTAAGGAAAACTCACGGAGATGATATCCACGTCCAGATTCCGATGCACCTCGTGTTCAGGGGATCATTTTCGACATGAAATTTGGAATCAGCGTCCCAAAAAATGTCACAATGATTTTTGGGTTGTTTTTGGCTATATTGTTAGGAAAATTCTCGAGGGTGACATCCATGTCCAGGTCCGGCGCACCAGGTGTCCGGAAGGTGTTCGCCGATGCAATATTTGAATTCAGCGATCCAGAAAACCCCGGGCGTCGAGTTTCTCTCCTTCCCCGCATGAATTTCGGGAGAGTTCCACGGAGATGACCTTCATCGGCGTTCCTGAGCTCCAGGTCGTCTATGGGTCAATTTGAACATCATAATCGGGAACCCGATTTGGGCCAGTTCTGACTCTCATTTACAAAGCTCTTTAATCTTCCAAAAGCCGTCTCAAAAAATGCATTTTTTGAATGCATATTTGGCTGTAGCACTGCAATTTTCGGTTTGTATAAGATAAAAGTAGGGACGTTTTTTCCAAAAAAGTTTTTAAAAGCGAATGCAAAAAATCGCATTCCGATCCGTCTTAGTCTAAAAAATTCCGAACTTTTGGTCTTTTTAGTACTTCATTGCCTCGACTATATATAGTATACAATATTATTTACTTCTGGATATATTTACAGTTAAGAAATTATTGAAAATTTTGTACTAGATAGATATAGTTATTTTTATTCTAGGATTTATTTAAAATGTAATAATTTATTTAATGTATTTGAATATTTCACCGTACGTCACAGTATCTGTATATTGATGGCTTCAAATTAGTTAGGTACATTGAAAAATCAGGAGTTCCACAGTGGTCGAACCTGTGCCACTTATTATTTACATTATTTATTAACGATATTACTACTGATTTATGTTTATGTGTCGACGATTTAAACTTTTAGACCTTAACTTAAAAAGAGTCTAAGTGCCAAAATGTTCTTAAATATTTTTGCATAAAAATGTTCTATATATAAACTCTAACGATATCTAAATGGTTCTAGTGCCATCACAAAGTAATTCATGTATTGGAGTGAGATAAACATGACGATTGTATAATAAAAAAATAATTAAATTGGTTAGATTTCTCCTTTGAGTGAATTGAGTATTTCAAATTATCGTATTCTTTTAAACGATTTTTTATTATTTTTTATTTTAATGGGGATTTCTCGTATGTTATTCAATAATATAAACAAACAAAATCGCCCATAATCAACTCCGTTAAAGATATCAAATATGAATGGATAATTAATATGCGAGAAAGACATTGTTTCACATTTTAACTTGCATGGTCGCCTCTGCATTAACAAAGAGAACAATAGCATTGTCGGAACATACAAATGACATGCATACATAGGGCTCGATTTCGCGAAAGCATTAGAGTCAGTCATGCGGAAAAAGTTGGGGTTGTTCTACTCCGTCGACTGCGCCATGTGAAAAATAATCTGGCCGTAACTTTTTTATTTTAAAGTGGCTTCTGTGGCGTGATTTGTTACACGGTGATTTTAAATGGGATGATGTGCTATGCTTTGGTTTTGAAGGAGGGTGCAGAATTTTAAAAATGTGCTGTTTCGTTTTAAAAACGAAAAATTGGGGATGTAACCTTTCTGACTCGGACTAACAAATATAATTTATTGGATTGAGCTAGCGAGCTATAACAAATGTTGTCCAATGAAAACGTTTTCTTCTCTATCAAAAATTACAATATATTCGTTCTTTTGAAATATTTTCGAATGAGACAAGTTTACCTGTATCTATATTTTTATTTTAGACTAAAGAAGAATGGCGAATCGTCTTCATCATATCAGCATTCGTTCATTATTCCGGAATTATATTTTACGGTATATTCGCTTCTGGAGATCTGCAACCGTGGGCAGATCCTACTGCCGAAGAAGAAAAGCAGTGGAATCAAATGAATGAAGCCGTACCCATTAAAAATCCACAAGTGAGTATTTACTAAAATATGATATCCGAAATATTATACATAAAGATACAGGATAACTGGTAGGAGTATAATCCGCTCAGAGATTTAAGCTCTTCTAATACGATTTATTCGCTCTGAATCAGTTCGCATAATGCGTCTGTATAATTTCCCCTTCCAACTATTGTTGTGCCTTGTTTGATGAACTGGTTTTCTTAAATTGAAATTCTTAAAGATATCTGTTTATAATTAAAGATTTTGCAATTTTCAACTTCAATTTTGAACATTGATTTTTATTATTTATTTATTTATTTATTCATTTCATATTTCTATAAGACACTATTCATTGCATTTGAACATAGTCATAATAAACAAAAGAAAATCAATATGTATGAACTAGTTAGAGCATGGACAGAAGTTGGAAAGGCATTTGGTAGGTGGAGAGATAGTTAAAGTCAAACTCTGTTTGAAGACTTCGAGACTTTCGCAATAATGTTTGTTCGCTAGTGTCACATTCTGGAATTAAAATAATATCAAACATATTAAGTTATTACCGGCGAAACAAACAGGTAATCGTATCTATTTAAGAACTAAAAATAATTATTTAAACAAGTAATAATATTCCAAATCGTAATTCTACAAAATTTCAACAGCCATTCACAATTTATGCTTCCCTTGGTGTTTTAGTATTTTAATAGCAGATGAATATGGTGAGGAAGTAGTGACAGAACTTCTGGTTAAAATTTAGAATGGATTGGATCAAAATAGTATTCGAAATCCTATTTTAAGTATGAATCGTCGCTGCCAATACACAATTAGAAATAGAGGTGAAAGTACTTGGTATTAAATATGATTTTATATGTTTCTTTAAAAGAATTAAATTCCGAATTTTGTTTTCTTTATATTTTTTCAATTTTGTATGTTTAATATTAGAAATACATTTTAAAAAAATGTTTAGATTACAAGCAATTTAATAAAATTATAAAATTTACAAATTTATTACTGGAGCGCTAATTTCTTGGATCGATGAGATGATCGATGACCAATAGGCGATATAATAACAAATGTATTAATTTAAATGAGAATATACATAACATATCAAAGATTAGCGCACCCTCGCACCATACATTTGTATCACATCGATTGATATCTATTTAACCATCGCTTATAGATCATCGATCATCGAGGCAGCTCCGATATGTACACATCAAAGAGGATGAAGAATAGTTAGATTTTTCACTAATTCCTAATCCTCTCAGTTTACAACTTATTTATAAATTCAAAACTGTTGGATTTGTAGTTTACTAAAAGTTGAACCCAACACAAATTATGAATACGGCCCTAAGACTCTCTTACATGATGGACTGTCTCCTTTCGGTGCTAGCTACAAATATTTTCATATTGATAATGAAATTCCAACAACTTCTTAAAAAACGATTTATTGTGCAAAACGTTGCCCGACATATGTACACTACACTTTTATTTTAAAATATCTAGAGGCTTAACACTGCCTTAGGATTCATATTTTGTTATTTTATTTATTATTATTTGATTATCTTTGCTCAGAGAACTATGTAATATATAAAAGAAAAACTATCATCATGTTTCTAGTGCAACCCGTCTGACTTCTAGCGAAATACAAATTGATCTGATGTTTTGTGCCGTTCAAAGAAAGATACACATGTCTACGTGCCAGAAACTCGTTGGCCTTGTGAGGTTTCGCGCTGATGCTCGAAGAACGCGACTATTGTCACGTAGACATTTATTTACCATGAACACCTGCTTACCGAGCACAGGATCGTCTCTCGATATGTTTCAAAAATATATTTGTTTTGAAATAAAAACTATGTACCAAAATTATAATATAATGATGATTATTCTTGTTCAAATATTTCTCTAAAGTCGTAATTTGGCTCGATTTAAATTGTTTCGATACTCTCTGTTTCTGCAACATTATTTCGCATTCCATGGTAAATACACAATGCAATGGCATGTTTAAAATCAGCTGACCTACTTTTATTACATAGAACTTGGTAATGATGGTGTTCTTGTTCAAATATTTCTAAATGGACGTAATTTGGCTTCAATACTCTCCGTTTTATTCTGAAATAAAAAGATCATTTTAAAAAACTATTATTAAAAATAATAGAATTAATCAGTCACACTCACACATCACGTTACAATACTTTTTATTAATATAAAACCAATTGCCGGTAACTTTTGCCCAAAGACAAATCATGTATTTTGTACTTTTTTAATTAATTCTAGGTCACAGATCATGAATAATCAAATAAAAATATACATATCTTCAAATATTTTCACATAATATTCGTCAAACTCCAATTCTGTACCATATAGTAAATACACAGTACAATGGCATATTTAAAAGCCAGCTGATCTACTTCTATTACACAAAACTTGGTAATGATGTTTGTTATTGTTCAAATATTTCTAAAAGGTCGTAATTTTGTTCAATTTAAAGAATTATTTCGATACTCACTGTTACATTCTGAAATAATAAATAAAAATGAAACTTTCTAATATAAATTTACTTATAACAAACAATAATAAGTTTCTTGTGTAGGCAGTATTTGTTATACAATGCTTATTATTTTGTATTATATAGGCATAGCCATGCTTTCACAGTGAATATGTGGCAACTAGGATATCTCCGCTGTCGCTATACACTCTGGTTTTGTCACCGATATCGGCTTCTGCTAATATCCCATCACCATATCTTCTTATTCTAGTCGACCACTGGCTGTTACCCTGTTGCCATTTTATTAATTTATATACTAGATAAGTACTGTATCTCTATCTAAAAAATAATTTATAAAATTAAATACATACTACTCATTTTAATTTTTTTTATAAAAATAGTGAAATGAATTAGTCATATATAAATCACTAATTTTTAGTTTATTAATTAAATCTAGGTCACGGGTTAAGTGAATAATCAAATAAAAATGTTCACACCTTCAAACAATTTTACATATTATTCGTCAAATTCCATTATTTTATAATCCCATTGTAAATAAACAGCCGACCTACTTCTATTACACAAAACTCTTAAATAATTAACTCAAAGCAAATCAGTTTTTATTGCAAATGTTGAACGGCTAAGCCATGTTTTTTATTAAATAATTTATCTGAGACAAGTACTTTAAATTTGTATAACCGTTAAACTTTTTTAAAAAAGTTAGTTACACCTAATTAAGCTAATTTTTTACCTAAAATAGATATATTGTTCATCTAAAAAGCAATGAACGAAAGGTAAATTCTGAAGCAGTTAAACCTTCAATTTGAGACAGCTCGCACTTTTTAGATATTACCATTTATCTGAAATTATTACACTTTCTTACACGATGGTACAAAGTTAGCTATAGAAAGTATTGAGAGAGCTGGGATTGGGATTAGAATTTGTGTAAACCATATACATCGATGGCTCAATTGGTAAGAGGAGTGACGGCCACAATCCGAAAGTTCCAGATTCGACTCATGGTCGATGCACTCATTTTTTCTTTTCTTCAATTCTCAAACATTTTCATTTTTCTTTGGTTTGTTTAAACTTTGGGAATATGAGGGTGTAATTTTCATAATTTTCATTTTTACATTTCCAAAATAGCATTTCAGTTTTTCGAATTTCAACCGATTTTGCTCATTTCACTTTTCTTTCATTATATGTATCTAAATTAGTTTCGAATAAAGTACCATTTAAATATAGTCTGCGAATATGGCCTACGTATGGCAGCACTTTAAATTGGAGTATAGGGCTATTTCCCTCGATTTCATTTTCACGGTCTGACTGTTCTCTCTTCTAATTTTTACTCTTTGCTATGAGCCGATAATCATTTAAAATTGTTGCCAAAGAATTTCTATAAAGAAATTGCTTTTAAATTTATAGATTTTAAACATTATGATAATTTTATATTATATTCATAACAATATGTTAGTAATTGTTATTTAGTAAGGTTTTATTTCAGTTTTGTAACGGTTTTCGTTTGTTTCTCAGCCTCAAAACGGGCTGTTTCAAAGACAGCCGAGCAACGCAGCCAACTATGGTTCAGTGGAAACGCCTCTAGGTGCGCGTCCTCCTTCGAGACCACCACGACCTCCATCGCTATCGTCTCAATCATCGCAGCAATTTTCGCAAGAAGGAAACGCATCGCAAATATTTCCGCCGGAGATTCCCGTCGCTCCAGCGGGAAATCCTTTCCGATCTTCGTCGAATCCGTTCCGTTCCGAAGCCGTTCAACCGACTGCTCAAGATCCTTACTTACATGGTACTATAAACGATAGAACTTATTGAAAGTATTAAAGGCGATGTAATCTGTATAGAAAAATAATAGGTGTAGTGAATAACCACTTTTTGTATTTAAATTTCTCGATGCGTTAAAATGGCAGTAATGGTAAATTAGTTCTGAAATATTTTTCGATAGTAAAAACAAAATTTTGTGAATAGAATGATACTGACAAAAATCAACAGCAACGTAGTTACTTAGAAGACGAAATTAAAATTTGCGTTATTTTAAAAGTTGGAAAAATAAGTATAGTTGAAAACTACCTATGGCTTATTGATTGAAAAAGTTCGCCAAGGATACGAAAGATTCTTGGGTACCGGCAATATTTATAATATTAGTTTTTGGATATAATAACTATAAATATTAGAGGTTGAAAATTATACAGGTTTACCAAGTATATTTGAGCCCATTATTAAAGGACTATAACTTGGAAAAGTATTTGGTACATTAAAGTCGGATTTTCAATAGACATCTTTAAAAATATACAGTATGTCACCCTAAGTTGGAATCATATGGAAAACTTTTTTATTATTAATTTTAGGAAAAAAAGTTATTCTTCATAAAAAGTTCTGCATTATCTAGAACCTAGAATACAGTCATCAAATCAAATTTTTTTTAATGGTTTACGAGGTTTGTCAAAAAATAGTTTTAGCCAAGAGTAAAGTACCTTTAAATTTGACAATAATGAAAAATGTTACTAAAAAAAGTTGATCAGAATTAAAAATTACGTTTAAATATGCAACAAATTATTTGTATGTCAGTGCATCCTAGATTACATGTAATTACAGTTAAATTTGCATTATTGTAGACATACGTTTAAAAAATAATTTTATTAATGTAAATGGATGTGCATATTTAAACGTAATTTTTAATTCTGATCAACTTTTTTAGTAACATTTTTTGATATTGTCAAATTTATTTTTTGACAGACCTCGTATACCACTGAAAAAATTTGATATTTGATGACTGTATTCTAGGTTTTAGATAATGCAGAACTTTTTCTGAAGAACTACTTTTTTGTCTAAAATTAATAATAAAAAAGTTTTCCATATTTCTAACTTAGTGGCACATACTGTATATTTATTATACAGGGTTGTTGAACCAAAGGGTTAAAATACAGTTTTTAAATTTAGGGAGTTTAAATTAGATATTTTTTCGTGTAAGTTGCTTATAATGATAACTATTTTACAGAATTCATTTTCGCGCACGGGGGCCATATTTAATTTTTTTAAATAGCTATGTGGGTCACATGATACTTTATTACAAAGGGCTTTAGAAGCCTATTTCAAAAATGTGTCTAAATTTAATATATTTTGTTATACAGATAGAAAAAAGTCAAAAAAATGTGGATAACAAAAATATTGTTGTAAGCAGGGTAACCAAAATGTCTATGAATTTCTATGAATTTCTATGAATTTCTATGAATTTCTATGAATTTCTATGAATTTCTATGAATTTCTATGAATTTCTATGAATTTCTATGAATTTCTATGAATTTCTATGAATTTCTATGAATTTCTATGAATTTCTATGAATTTCTATGAATTTCTATGAATTTCTATGAATTTCTATGAATTTCTATGAATTTCTATGAATTTCTATGAATTTCTATGAATTTCTATGAATTTCTATGAATTTCTATGAATTTCTATGAATTTCTATGAATTTCTATGAATTTCTATGAATTTCTATGAATTTCTATGAATTTCTATGAATTTCTATGAATTTCTATGAATTTCTATGAATTTCTATGAATTAATTTCTATGAATTTCTATGAATTTCTATGAATTTCTATGAATTTCTATGAATTTCTATGAATACTTTACTTGGGGGATTTAAAAACGGTTTTAAATTGAAAAGCAAACGTTTATAGGGACTCTTTATTCTTCTGCTTGTTAAATTGTTACTTGGGTGTGAAATAACAAAGTCATATACCTGAAAAAGATTACACTTTTTTTATATCTGAAAAAGATCACACTCTTTTCTGAACTAGAAGTTGGAGTACAAAATTGAAAAATGTCAAAACATATAAATAAATATGTTCCGTAAAAACCCGACATTCATACATTAAATACTTTTCAGGTTGATAGCCTTTAAAACGATATTAATCTAACAACTTTCTCGGGTTGTAGAAGAAACTATACAGGGTGAATCCTAAGTTAACTGTATATAGAAATCATTAAAATAAACAACTTTTTCAAAAAAAATCAAAAATAAGATACGCAAAACTACTATCGGTACACACTTTGTACTTGTATAGTTTATTGGTACATTGGTCAACAAGTTTTAACGTTTTAGCTATAAATCTGAAGAGCCTCTGATATCACTTTTTTCATTTGGCAATACATGTTAATACTATACATTTTGAGTAAAAATATAGTAGTTTAACATATTTTACAAAAAATTACACAACTTTTTATTTATCCTTAAATCAGAAACACGGATTTTTAATATTTACTACATCCTTATAGCAAAATTGACTTGATCTTCAATTTAGATAGTTGAAATTGAAGAATCAGGCAATTGACTTACCTAGTAGTAAAATTTTTCTAAATTAAACTAACAATAATGTTATATTTTATTAAGTAATTCAGTTCATTTATTTATGTTATTTTTTTAATAAAACAACTGTGATCTGGTTTAATATTATGAATTAAAATGGTTTACTTTTATTATAGAAGTATTATAGATTAATTTTATTTTATTTAGATAATTGATTTTTTTATTAATATGCTAGGTAAAGCAATTTTTAATAACAACAAAAAATAATCATATTAATACTTTTTTAAGACAAATAAGACTCCAATTATGAACAGAAAATAACTATTGTTTTCGCTAGTAGTAACTAGAATATAATATTTTAAATAAGGTTAATTGAAGAAAAACAATTAGCTTTTCCAATAATGTACATTCTCAATTTTTAGCACTGTAAAGTAAATCAATAATGTATAGCTAAATTTTAATATGCTAAAAAATGAGAGAGATGAATACTGATTTAAATAATTTCATCTCAAATGGTCAAAAAAGTTCTTTATTTCTACATAGGTAACATACTATTTTAATATATCTATTCTTATCTAACTTTTAAACCTATACCAATTTTTTTTAGAACGTTATTGAACTCAAAAAAAACATTTCCTTAATGTTTCAAAAACTTTTTTGTTTATCGTGTTTATAGACTTAAAACAACGAAATACCCAAGTGTCATTCTACAATAAATTGTAGTGCCTATATGCACCTATTATTCGATGCAACATGTATTGACGAAAAATTGAAATTTCATAACAAATAAAATTTATACTGAAATTAACAAATATTTAAAATTAATTGGAAAAATATTATTTTATGAATACATTTTTTGCAACTGTTAAAACGTAGCACTGTCTTAAAGTATATTTAGATATTTTTTCTTAAAAATAAACAAAAATATAAATTATACAATATTATTAAGTGACGCCCTACAATGCATTAAATTTTCTTTGTTTTTGAGGTGTCATAATGATAACTTTTTAAATTTTAAAGTTAGAAATTATAACTACCAGTTAACAAAATAATATTTCACTTTACAAATAAATTCACATAAATTAAGACAATACAAAAATATGTATCAAATAATTATGTTTTCTAACTTTTTCAAAATTGTTTTAATAAAGAAAATCATCTCTATATATTTAGTAATAATATACATATTGATGTTTATACCTATAACTTTATATTTAGATAGGCAATAAATATATTTCCGGTTAGTTTTGCCAATTAAAAAAAAAATATAAATGTATATATAAGTCAATATTTTTGTTGTTAAGTAGCTGAATATTAGCTGCTATTGACAATAATGTAAATATTAAAATTTTCATAACCACTTCATAGCAACACTGACATTTCTGTTATAAATCACCATTATAATTATCAAAATATTATCGATTAAAATAAAATGTTTGACAAAAAGTTTAGAAGACAAATTAGCTGTCCTTTTTTGAAAACTGCAGTCCCTTTTTTCAATCAAATTGTCCTTATAACTTTTTAAAGCTTAAAATGTTCTTTTTTAGAGCACATGTCCTTTAAAAGGACCTGGTTTATTAAAATATAAGTCGAGGACTTTTTTTTAAGCTTGCTTAAAATAACTTGGTTTTTTTAACTGTATTCCCTGAAGTGGTTTATGAAAATCTTTTTTTTATATGTTTTAAAGCTGAAATATGAGCCTTCTATCGTCGACTTAGGATAAGCATAAGGGCCTGCTTGTTCTAAAATGGCGACTTTTGCTGATATTTAAAAAAAAATCAGTAATAATTTACATAATTAGAATATTATACCTTTATTTTTACAAAAAAATGGTATTCTTGTGAAATAATTATAAGTGTCTAAGCATAAAAGTTCAGTTTGTTCGTTGCTTCAACATGCAGCGCTTTATCTTATAGTATTTGTTTTTGTTAAACTGAACCTATTATATAAAAATGTAAGTTAATTTACAAATAACTCGTCAACCATTGACAATAAAGTTGATAATAAATATCATCAAATACAAAATTTTACAAGTTTACTGTTTCTAAAATATGAAAACCAAAAAGAGCAACAATTTAATTCATTTATCTATATTTTTTGCACTATTACTATTAATAATTCTTCCCCTGTACAGAAAAGTTTACTATTTTGTTGAAGGTTATCACTTATTTCTAATTAAAAAAAGGATTATCTCTGTAACTTTCCGTAAACTTGTTAAAATAATGAGAATTAAATTGTATCCACAATTGGTTTTCATATTTTTCATTATTTTACTTGCTATTGCTTTTAAATTACTAAGTTGTTAGCTTAAAATATACAGGAAAACTAATTTTTTAGTATTTCGTTTTGTCGAATTATTTTTAATTTCATCTGTATAAGAATTTTGTAAATTGGTTTTAATAGTACCTATTAAGATTTTTGAGGTTTTTACCTCAGGGCTGTGCTGACAATAATAAATGGTAGGTATATCCTACCATGTCTACGATAATAATTAGTTTATAAGGG